TGAATGCATACAAGTCCTTTGGTTGATCTCTCCCCCTTACCCCACCCTGCCCTACCCTCCCTCTGAGGTTTGACAGTCTGATTGACATGTCTCTGTCTCTGGGTCTCTTTTTGCTCATCAGTTTATGTTCTCTAGTCTATATATATATAAAAAGCCAGCGACCAGAATGCCAGAACGACCAGAACAACCAGTCACTGTGACGCCCACTGCGGCCAGCAAACCGGCCCAATCCAGAGGTGGGGCTTCCTGCCAACCTCCTGCAGCACCCCCTACCTCAACAGGGGGTGGGGCCAGCCAGCCAACCTCCTGCCATCTCCTCCTCCCAACAAGCTCCGCCCTGATCCGCTGATTGGGGCCAGCCCAGCCAGACCCCACCTGTGATAAATTTGTGCACTGGGCCTCTAGTGTGGTTATAAAAAGTAATGCTGATAGATTCCACTGTGCCCTTTACCCCATTTCCTCCAAAATGATAACATCTTGGAAAACTGTATCACAACCAAGATGCTGATATCAATACAGTCACGACACAGGACTTTTCCCACATCACAAGGATTTCTTGTGTTGCCCTTTTATAGACACACACAAACTCCCCCCACTTCTGTAACCCCTGGAAACCACTAATTGGCTCTCTATTTCTATAATTTTGTCATTTCAAGAATATTATATAAATGGAATCATATGATACATAACCTTTGGGATTAGCTTTTTCGTTCAGTATAATTATCTGGAATTTATCCAGGTTGTAGCATGTATCCACTAAGAGTTACAATGGCATGTAACTCTTTGCCTAATTTTCCGGCTGCTTAACTACATAGCAAAGGACGAGAAGGCATTTGCCAAACGTCATAGACTACTTCCTTAAAACCGAGGATTAACTAATGACTCATCAGTACTTGCAGCTTTACAACTATCTTGCTACTTGAACCTGGGAAGCCTTGACATCTCTCTCTAAGCCTCAACTAGACAAGATACATGCTTTTCAAAGTGTATTCTTTGAAAATTGAACTGCAAAAAAATGAACGCCTTCTAAAAGGTGGGTGTGGAAATAGAGATGTTCATGGTCAAGTGATTCTGAGGAAATGCTGCATACTATATTCCTCTTTTGAAATAAACAAATGCCCTTTTTGTATAAAAGGATGGATCCAGAATCCAAGTGCCCAAGAATAATTTTCTCAGATTCATGCTTTCCTAAAATAGTAACTCTTGGGAAGACACTTAACTTTCCTACACCTCAGTTTCCTCATCTGTAAAATGGAGAGAGCAACATTACCCACCCTCATATGAAAGGAATTTTAACATAAAGACAGAAGAAAACACTTGATACATGTTAACTCTTATTTCTTTTATTGCCATCATATGATTCATCAAAATCATTAGAATCTTGTTAAAAATACACATGTTCAGGGGCTGGGAGGAGGGGGATGGGAAAATTAGGGGACATCTGTAATACTAGCAACAATAAAATAAATATTTTTAGAAATCTACATGTCCAGACCCCATCCCTGGAGATTCAGATTCATTAAGTCTAGGGTAGGGGCAGGTACAGGTGAAGTAGAGGTTTAATCTACATTAAGAATGTGTTCAATACAGTATTAGAGGCAGGATTCAAACCCTACCAAACTGTCTGATGGAGGGTGTCACACTTGTGTCCTTATACAAATTTAGCAAATCCTTTAAAAAGAGCGCAGTTCTCTCCTGAACTGAAGATTGGACTTGTAATAATATAAACTCATAATTCTTCAAGGGGTAGCTCAATCAAATAAAATGTAGTTCTGTGCAGTTGGTTCACATCAAGCTTTCTAAACAATTCCTAAATGTAATATTTAGCACTGATATGCAAAAACTTTATTTGTGAGTCATTGTTTGGCAAATCAAACCCGAAAATAAGACATTATCTCCTTAGAAATCCAAGGCTCCTGTTGTTTCTGTGACTGCTATTATTTCTGTAGGCATTACCATCACACTGCTGTTCCCAAAGGTCTCCTTGTCATGCAGCAGGTAAGTTTCAGGACAACTGGGAGTCATTGCAGAGGTGGTGGCAAAGATAGAGTTAGAAACATCAATGATGAGAGAGAATCATTGATTGGCTGCCTCCTGCCCTCCCCCTACTGGGGATCGAGCCCACAACCCAGGCATGTGCCCTTTGCCGGAATCGAACCTGGGACCCTTCAGTCCGCAGGCTGATGCTCTATCCACTGAGCCAAGCCAGCTAGGGTGGTGGCAATCTTCTGACCACTTCTGCAGCAATCCTCAGGTAAGCTTTGGCCTGGAAAAGAACAGACAAGTGTGTTCTATACTTCTCCCCAGCACACATCAACTGACTCAGGAACTGTTTACCAGCATTGTCCTTTGAATTTAATAGTAAAAAGGCTGAGCTGAAGAAATTCAGGAGAGAGGAGATACATTGTAGGTGGGACAGGGAAAATAATTGTAGATTACTTGGAGGCAACTACTTGGAAGGTGACTTTCTGAAAAAAAATATTTAGTACCAGCAATTACTGTTTTTCAAACTCTAATTCCTGAGTCAGCAAACGAGCAACCTAGTCTAGCTGCAGAAAAATTATGCCTCCCTCTTCTGACAAATTAATATCCTGAGGTAGATTCTGCCAACAATTCTGTGGCATAAGAGTTGTTAGTCGTTTAAAGAGGACTATTACTTACCACCTTACAGTGTGTCTACAGAAACCATTTCTTTATTCTCTCTGAGAATGACACCTAGTACCAGCACAAGCACCTGGGGCTCCTCCACCTGGTGAGTTTTGGGGACCACGGATCACTGCCGCACTCTTCATCTCCGCACTCGCAGTGAAACACTCTGAGCAGCCCCCAGGCCACCGAGTGGGCCACCAACTAACCCAATGCCCACAGTGCAGTTTGAATAATGGTCATGACATTTGTATTTTAAGGGCTTTAAACAATTGCAATGTAAATTTTATTTCTTAATTCTTCCATTTTATCTATAAAAGTAACTGTAGGACAGAATAGTAAGACTTTCTAAAATTATTACTTTATACATTTATATACTTAGATTTGAGTATATGCTACTGCTACTCCAACTACTACAATTAATAGCAGCTAAAACTTAAGTACTTAACATTTTCCCAGTATTATTTCATTTATCCTTACAGCTACCCTAAGGGGTAAACTCTGTTATTATCCCCAATTTATAGACGAGAAAACCAAAACCCAGAAAGGTGAAGACTTTATAGCCAGTCTTAGATGAGCTGCCCAACTTCCTGACCTGCCCGGTATGAGAACTGTTTGAGGCCTAATGCAATGCTTTAAGTGTGTCTCACACATCTTTATTTAAAAAAACTATGCTTGAACCCTAGCATCTAAGTTATGCTTTATTTTACCAGGAAAATGTTAAAATTTCACTTCAGACCATTTTTAAAAAAAGAGTATCTCTCAAAGCATGAATAAGGACTTAATTTTTTTTTACTGAGTGCCTACTACACCAAGTACTTCACATAAGTAATCCCGCTTGTAAAATAAGCATCATGGGCTTAACTTGATTGAAACACTGGAAGTGGTGATCACAGAGTCTGTAGGCTGGGAAACATTCAACTCTGGGTCCAACTGACTCCAAAGCCCAGCTCCTTCTGCTACATCACATATGAAACAGTAAATCAAGATACAAGCAATTATAATTGTAATGCTTTGTCTAAGAATCGTTTTAGTCACTGCTATAGTTAACAAAAACAATAGCTTTTATTTAAAAATGGAAATAACAATCCAGTCGGTGTTGTTCAGTGGTTGAGTGTTAACCCATGAGCCAGGAGGTCACAGTTCGATCCCCAGTCAGGGCACATGACCCGGTTTTGGGTTCAATCCCCAGTGTGGGGTGTGTAAGAGGTGGCCAATCAATGATTCTCTCTCATCACTGATGTTTCTATCTCACTCTCCTCTCTCTCTCCCTCTCCCTTCCTCTCTCTGAAAGTCAATTAAAATATATTTTGGAAAAAAATTAAAATAATAATGAAAATAACATAGACTTAATAAAGAAATATTTCTCTTAAATCTAATATGCTGATTTTCAGCTAAGCATCTTTATGAATATCTTTTTAGTCTCCTAGTATCTTTTCTAGGTATTTATGTGTAAAATTTTCTGATGAAAATTTAAAGTTTACTAAGGCAAGCTGAGACAAGGTCATCATTCTATAATCTTTTATTCATACTTATGTTAAATTACAGACATACCTATCAGGTGGCACAAAATACTGAATGATTCCAAGATAATCAAATTTGCTACATTTAACTTTTGCTTTTTAATGGCCTATCTCCAAGCTTAAACTTTCAACATATGACACTTAAAGTAATGGTGTGATTATCATTTGCTGAGAAACCACTAAAAGTACTTACTTTAATAGTTTCAATTTCTATAAAACTGTTAAGATTGAATTTTTTTCAGCCAATGCAGTATTATTTCAACAAATATTTTTTTTTGTTTGTTTTACTGTGTGTGTAATGCATTGTTTCAGAGAATCAGTGGGATGTAATGATATAAAGGGAACATATAATAGCTCACTGGTGAAGAGTTGGGGCCTCTAAGTCAGACAAGCATGGTTTAAAATCTTAGTTCTGTTATTTACTAGCTCTGAGACCTTGGGCAAATTACTTAACCGTACTAGACTAATTTTCCACATCTATAAAATGGTTATAACAATAGTATCTACCTCAAAGGATTTGGGGAGTACTAAGTAAGAAAAAAGTATGTGAAGTATTGGCACAAAAGAAGCAGATAATAATAGTGGCCATTATTATTACTATTCTGTCCTCAAGTAATTTACAATTTCATTGAAGGACTCATATTAATATGTTCTTTCGGGCACTTTTCTTGACCAAGGAATAAGTAAAATAAATCCCTTTCTTTTGTTTAATCGATAACAAACAAAAAGCATACACATACACATCATATGTAAAAAAAAAATGTGATTTAGATTTCTCAAACTATTAATACTCTATTTCTCATCAACTCAACTTTACAGAGACTAATCCTCACCTATTCAAGGTCTTTGGACCACCCTGAAAAGGAGATAATATAGCTGGATCTTACCTGTCTGCTCTGTTATCCTATCTAATAAAGATGGAATATGCAAATTGACCATCAATTCTCGACAAAGATGGTGGCACCCACAGCCAATAAAGAGGGAATATACAAATTGACGTGACAAAGATGGCAGCAGCTGGGATGGTACGCAGGTGTTCCACCACGCCAAGGCCGCTCTGGGCCTCTGGGCAGCATGCAAAGGCGGAAAGCGGCTCTGGGCCTGAGTGAAGGCGGAAAGGCGGCTCCGAGCCAGAGCAAAGGTGGAAAGGCGGCTCCAGGCTGGAGCGAAGGCGGTGCCAGCAGCCAGGGGAAGGAAGGCCTATTCTTGCACGAATATTTGTGCATCGGGCCTCTAGTCTATATATATAAAAGCCAAGCGACTGGAACGGCAGAACGACTGGAACGACCAGAATGACCGGTCACTATGACATGCACTGCGGCAGCCAACCAGCCCAATTGGGGCCCAATCGGCCCCCAGCAACCTTCCAAAGCACTTTCCCCTGGCTGGCCTGGTCCCTGATTGGCCCCCCGACCCCAACTGTGGGCAGGGCAGGCTGGCCAACCGCCCATGGCCCCTACCCCTGGCTGGCACAACCCGATGGGCCCCCCATTGGGGTGGGACAGCTAGACCCCACCCGTGCATGAATTTGTGCACTAGGACTCTAGTTAATAAATAAAAGGAGGGAAGGTGGGTAAGAGATCAACCAAAGGACTTGTATGCATGCATATAAGCATAACAAATGGACACAGACAGTACAGGGGTGAGGGCATGTTCTGGGGCATGGGAGTGGCCAGGGAGAGGTCAATGGAAGGAAAAGGGAGACATATGTAATACTTTAAACACTAAGGAATTAAAAAAAAAAGTAAAAAGAGCAGTGGTTGAGTGTTGACCCATAAAACAAGAAGTCACAGTTCGATCCCCAGTAGGTGGCATGCAAGAGGCAGCCAATCGATGATGTTTCTCTCTCATTGATATTTCTATTTCTCTCTCCAAAAATCAATAAAACATATTTTTTTAAAAAAAGGAAATGGATGGCCACCAAAGTGTAAGAAGTTTTATAAAGAGCTTTGGTTATTTGTCTTTTGTTTTTAAAGATTTAAAGTTCTAATTTATCTTATATAGTCATTTTCATATTAAGACAATGAGGTATTAAGAAATTATAAGACGATAAAGTTTCCACTTATACAGTGGGGCCTTGACTTACGAGTGTCCCGACTAACGAGTTTTTCGAGATACGAGCCATCTCTCGGCCAATTTTTTGCTTTGAGTTGCAAGCTAAAATTTGGGTTACGAGCCAGCTTCAGATACCCTATTGCTAGTTGGCGCAGCGAACGTCACAGTGAACACCACCACATCAGCCCAGCATCACAATGAATGCTCGTTCACTTTAACGATTTGACATACGAGTAATTTGAGTTACGAGCTCCGTCACGGAACGAATTAAACTCGTAAGTCAAGGCCCCACTGTATGTAGAGACTAGATGAGGAGACAAGCCAGAATGTGTGCTGGCTGTCTTTGGAAGTTCTCCGTGTGCACCAACAGAATGCTGGCTCTAACGGAAGGCTTCAAGAACTCAGGTGGGAACCACTGCTGATACGCAAACTCCTCACGTAACTTGCATTGGGAAATAGGATATTTCTCACGTCAAGAAGGTGGTAACCCAGGTTGCAAAGCTCAGGATCTATTCCTGTCCACCTTCATCATCAATATGCAAGGCAATGAGGCACTGGATTTCCTCTTTTGGGTCACATACTCACACGCAGAGCACTCCAAGCCACGGTCGGCCCAAACACGCCTCTCCATGCGGGTGGGGCAAGGGTCTGGGAGAACTGTGCTG